TCCTTTGGGATCATACCAGGAGGTACTTAATGTCAGTTCGTTCCATTATTGATGATCCTGAGTCTTCAGGTTAAGGTGGCATCTACCAGATGTCTTCAATGTGAAAGCACCTTTTTCCTCTTGTAATTAAGAAATAATCTGCAAGGCAATATTTTGGCTCTGTGTGAATATCCTGCCACCCAATAACCTTTCCCTTAGTGGTTTTAGCTTTCATTGGTAATTTTTGCCTAAATCAATTATGATACTGGAGGTTTCATAACGATCGTTTTCTAATTCTGTTATACCTTCTGTATTTATTAGTTCACATTCTTCTATAAAGAAAAGCTCTCTCCTTTCAACCACGTCTTCTGTTATTATAAAAAGGGTTTTGTATTCAATGTGTTATAATCCATTGACATCTTTACTTTTTTTGAGATGCTCAAATTGTCCCTTCAAGCTGGCTTTTATATCCTTTTTACATGTCCTCAGTAATCCCTGAGATTTTCATACCTTCTGGTACCATAAAATATTTCAGGAATGCCTTATACTTTCCTTGGCACAGATCTATTGTTGGCCATTTCTCAATGGAGCCTTGGTTGCTTTTAGTGGAAAATGGTATTTAGAAACAAAAATCTGGATGCTAGATGTGCTCATTGCTACTTGAGGTATCATTACTTTCAGGTCCTTTCAGTGGAAAGGCTAGGAAATTTACCTAAAACAAAATCATTAATTTGTACCAATTCCACAAAGCAAACGAACTTTTGAGACATTTCTTAAAAATATTTATTGACACCCAGCACAATTAATAAACAAAATTGTATAAACTCTTCATTCTTCATAAGTTCCACTGAATTCAGTTTAAATGACAATTTATGGCATTAATTCATTTTTCAGACTTAGAAACCTCAAATATGGTTACAATAGCAAGTTCAGGCCTGGTAACCCTGGATATGCTGTAAATTTGAAATTTGATATAAAATTTCCTGTTTTTAAAAAAATACCATATGTACTAAACAAAACACATCTGCAGGCTCATGACCTATGAACCACAGTAGAAAGTAAATTCATTATAACCACAGAACCTAGTCCACCATGAAGGAAGCTAGAATATTCAATACAACCCATGATATCATAATCATTCATTCATTTACAGAACTTCCTATGAGTGCCTACTACAAATAAAACCATATGTCATGCATAAAGAATATATATTATTTACATCCTAGGATTCAGTGACCTAGAACATTCTTAAACTAGATATTAGCATGGCATACTTCCTCATCTCACATTTGTGAGTATGTCACCTCTACAGGCAGGGCTTCCCTGATGATACCTTAAACATTGGAAACCCTCAGTCTCTTATCTTGCTTGTTCTCCACAGCACTTACACCACTTACGGAATGAAAAACTGAGTAATGGTCTTTCTTGTAGCTACTACTACAAGAGAACGTTATACAATCTGCTGCAATTTACTTGGAAGGTAACGTAAGAGAGGGGAACAAACACCAGAATAAACATCAGCAAACTCAAATCACCTGAGGGAATATCTGAAGTCAGAAAAGGCATTGCTTGTGGCCCCCAGAATCCATCCTCGACTCTTCATCCTTCCTGCCACAAGCAAATTCTTTATTCTTCCCCACCTCACCTACGAATTACTACTTTGCATAAGATGATTTATAAGGCCCTTTCTTATTTAAAATTTCTTTTTTTGTTATTTATGCTTGGACTTTAATCTACTGTTGTCTATTTCTAGACTACGAAAAGGTCAGGAAAGGGTCTTAAAGATTAAAGGCAACGCTTGCTTTAAAAAAGTATTATTTTTGCACTGTTTAGAGCGTATCTAGAAATGTAAGAAATTTATGAAGTTCCTTTTATAGCATGAATGCTTTTGTTTATAAAACATTAGTACAGATACTACTACTTTTTCAGTTTTACAATTTATCTTCTTGTCTGCGACATAATAATATACAGATTATTCATGATTACTAAGGATATTGTTTGATATAGTAAAACTAGTTCTCTAATACTTAGACCAAAGCCCAGCTGGCAAAAACCAAACAATAAAAATAACATAAAACAGAATTAGAAGAGAATTAGGTTGCCTCGATTACTGTTTCTCTCACAGAAACCCAAAATGGAAGATTTTCCCCTCATGATTACAGGAAAGAGAAGATATGCTTTTGTGCTTGGGATGACAATGCGGAAAATGTGAAGAAAAACCCCAGTTACTTTCCAAATGATGTGCCTGGTCTATGCTGTTGTGAGGTGTGTGCTGTAGTTGTGAGGTTAAGCATTCCACCCAGGCAGTCCCAAGACTGTGGAGGACCTGAGCCCTGGACTGTACCTCCAGTCATATTACCTGAAGAATGGGGTAACTATGCCATTATACTCCAGGGCCTAATTCTTTCTTCAAACCCTTTAACCAAAGATCAAAGCAAGATGCTGAAGGAAGACTATTCAGGGCTCAGAAGCAGAGAGAAAAGAGAGTAGCTGTAACATACATTTAAAAAAAGCAGTCCTACCAGAAAGTGCCTCAAGTCGCTCTTGCCCAGAAGAGCCATGCAGACAATATAAGTGAGGCAGCGGGCTCAGGTGCAGATGCGGAAATAAAAACACATGTCCCACTGAAAGGGGGGCCGTTGCCACCTCCAGCCAATTGTTGCCATGCAAAAATATAAGTCAAGCATTGGCCAAATTTGCTATTTCAGGAGAAGTTGAAATTTCATGATTTGTCAATACAGCACTTCCAGTTCTAGGTGTAAACTCAACAGAAATGCACACATATGAACTTCAAAAGATAGATTAAAAAATGTTCAAAGCAGAGTTCCAAACAGGAATGAACCCAGTGGAATATATAAATAATTTGCAGCATATTCATACAGTAGAATATTATGGAGCAATGAGAATGGACAGACTATTGCCAACCACAACAACATGGGTAGATTTCAGAAACATAATATTGAATGAAAAAAGCCAGATGCAAAAGTGAACGCTGTATGACTCCAAATATATAAAGTTCAGAAAACAGCCTATGGTGTTAGAAGTCAGGGCAGGGGTTCCCTTTGAGAGGAGAGAGTGATTCTAAGGGGCATGAAGGAGGCTTCTGGAGTGTTGGTAATTTCTTGATCCGGGTTGTCTGTGAAAATTGATTGAGCTGTACCATCATGATTTGCTTATTTTTCTATAAAAAAAGGTTTCAATAAAGAGTTAAAAAACAATACCTTGTGCAGGACAAATACAATAAATACATCCTTGGACTGCATTTTGCCCAAAGGCTTCCTGTGTATAACCCTTGCTCAAGATGGAGTTCAGGTGCTATGTTGGATGCTCTGGATACAAAGATTAATAAAATCCAGTTCATACATTCACAACATTCCTAGTTCATCAAGGTAACAGATAGATACATTTGCAACTAAAACATAATTGAATAAATGTGAATATGAGCATTCTAACCCAAACAGGATGGCTGCTATTCCCCTCACATACTGTGTTAGGTAATTACATGCTACACCACCTGAATGGAGGGGCTGAAGCTATGCCAAGGGCAGCCTTTGTGGTGGTGATGAATCTAGTATGAATGTCTGTGGGATGTGAGGGTCAAGGAAGAGGATTTTGCTTAAACGAGTAGAGGATGAACAGTGGCTGGCTGCCCTGCATATTTTAGGCAGAAGTAGTTAGTGGACTCTATGGCTATGGCCACCTTGCCTTAACAGTGCACTTCATTTCTCTGGAAAGTGAGAACAAAAGAAAGTCAGATTGTTTATGACTGTGTCTTAGTCATCTAGTGCTGCTATAACAGAGATACCACAAATAGATGGTTTTAACAAAGAGAAGTTTATTTCCTTACAGTAAAGTAGGCTAAAAATCCAAAGTCAGGGCATCAGCTCCAGGCGAAGGCTTTCTCTCTCTCTTGGCCTTCTCATCAGTGTTTCCCCAGACTAGGAGCTTCTCTGCGCAGGTACCCCGGTCCAAAGGACGCACTCTGCTCCTGGCACTGCTTTCTTGATGGTATGAGGTCCCCCTGTCTCACTGCTCACTTCTGTCTTTTATATCTCAAGAGATTGCCTCAGGACACAATCCAGTCTTGTAGATCAGGTTCTGCCTTACTAACACAACTGCCACCCATCCTCCCTCATTAACATCATAGAGGCAGGTTTACAACACGCAGGAAAATCATACTGTACCAGGAATCATGGCCTAGCCAAACTGATACACACATTTTTGGGGGGACATAATTCAACCCATGACAGACTGGGAAGAATAGACTCTGCTAACCCACTGGAGAAGCTCTTTGCAAACAGGCTGGCCCAAAAATCTATTTAACCATCAGAAAGATCCGCTGGGGTCACATAGTACTGGAAAGTCTTTCTCACTGGAGTTAGAAAAAGCTGCCTCTTAAAGGACTGTGTCTTAGGTGATGAGGGAATTGGGCATTCTCTTAGGGGTGAAGTAGGAAAGGCGGTATTCATTGAGATTTTCTTCTCAGACAACCGAGTCTCCACTTCTCTCAAGTCTTCCCTAAATGCCGGTGTGATCAAAGCTGATATTTTCTTGAAAAGGGAAAACTGTATAGGTCCCAAGAGTGTCACTTGGGATATGTATATACATATGTTAGAGACAGGGAGTATTTCTTAGAACTTGGTCCGCAGTTTCCCTAAAATGCCTATGGCAGGGTTAAAAGCTTTGTAAAGAGGCTGAGCAATCTTGAGAAATACGCTTAATGTAATAGCTCTGGTCATTAGAAGAAAACAAAAGTATAGCTTCTTTCTTAGGTACATTTGGAGTTTTGATTTATATTTCAAAAAATGTTAGTATTCTTTATGAAGATTGATAAATATTTTATCAGTCTACATAGGGTAAGTGATTTTTAAATTATAATTTGTAAGTATTAATTCACTTAAGAATTTCATAAAGTATTTTTCATATCAGGTATTTCTTGAATGATTTGACTGCACTCTCAATAGCCTTTTGCCATGCATTATTAAACTCTCTTTTTTTTTTTTCTTCAGAAATCTTCCAGTAGACGTCTAGGGTTTAGCTAGAAGTCTTGGCTATGATACAAACAGTGACGGAAAACATATGAGCAGTAACAAGTTTTAATCTCTCTCTTCAGTACTAAAATGGACTAATCTGTAGAAGCAGTTTATTCAAGATCACCCAGGGTGCCAGCAACATCAGGAGAATTTTTTTGAAGGTTTTTTTTTTTTTTTTAAATAAATGTAACACCTTCTCATCTTTTCTTCTTAAATGGTATCTAACAACATATACATTATATTTACTTTTTAGATAAGCACACAGTGGAATAATTCTACTTTCAAGAGGATTACTCTTTTCTTACAAGGTATGTTTTTATGTCTTATGTGTACTCACTGCTAAGGGGACATTCATGTTATTAACATAAATACCTGTAAATAATAGGATAAAGTTTAAAGTTTATATCTATAATGATAAATTCTTTTAAAAAACACTTAAATACCTATTAACCTAAAATTATCCTTTTATGTTTTATATATAATGAATTTATTTTCAATATAATTATATGACTTTTTTTACTGCTAAATGTGAACATTGTTAATTTTGAGAATCACTGAAACAAACATCTTGTAAATAAGTTCTTTTAGGAAAATAACATTACCTTAATAATTAATGATGATGAAGTTTGGGGATATCATAAACACATTAAATGAAACAGTAAATATTTCTTTCAAAATGTAAAACTATGATATTTTCTAATGTGTTTTAAAAATGTTGAATTATTCAAATGTCATTTTTACTTATACACTTGAATATCAATATTTTTTCTTGATATTCATTGTTTTTATGTAATGAAATGGCACTGGACACTTAAAATGGAAATCCATGTAATTCCAAGAAAGAATACTTATCAGCAATAGTTCAACTAGCTTTATATTCTAAGTATGAAAGATTAGAGACTTCTTTTCACAAAATCTATAGTCAGAATTTAACATAAAGATTTCCTTTGCTCCTTCCCATAGTAAATATTTCATTAATTCTTAGATTTAAAAAAAGTAAACAATGTATTCAATAACTCCTTAGTAAGCTAAATAGAGCACAGTACTCTTCCTTGTTAATCTATTTAGAGGTGTGGCAGCCATGAGGTAGTGGCCACATGGGTAAGTGTTAAGTCATAAAGAAACTTGAGAGTTCTGTATCTTTCTAAAAATAAAGGTTTAAAAAAAAAAAATCCCACCAAGAAATCATTGAGTTAAAAACAAAAAGAAATAAAAATAAATCACAAGTCCACACACATGTAAAAGCATCTTGATGTTTTTTGTTTGCTTTTAGCATTAAGCAATATAGTGTAATAGTGGAAAGAAGAGAAGATACACAGTCTTCTGTTAACAACTAAATGCTATAATAGAGACGAAAACTTCTGATACCTGATCTGACGTTTGGGACACAGTAGATAAATTTTATAAACACAAGTCTTAATGCACTGTAGTAAATATCAGAAAAACGAAGCAGGGGGAGTTTTTTAACACAGCCACTAGATTGCTAGAGGTATCAAAAAGCTGATGAAGCGCAAAACTAGTAAAAAAGGAAAAGCAACCAGCAAGTTCTTTAATTAGGATAACACACTTCTAAGGTAAAGTTAATTATTTCTTTAAGGAAAATGTCTTTTAATATCCATGAACAAATGGCATTGTAAATAAATTTCCAAATGTGTATTTGAACTTTTACTTGTTAACTTGCAATGCTGTGCCTTGATTATATCTGAATTTAGTTTGGATTCCTTCTGTGAGATATATGGGGTATAGAACATTTATATGTTGAAAACTACTACTGGTACAAGTCAACTGATAGAAATATTTAAACCAAAGGGAAAAGTTGCCAAGCGGATCTTTAAACATGGGATTTAAAAGCACAGTGACTTATTTACCTAAAATAGTGTCTGAGAAGAAATACCTTTTACTTAGACAAATTTTTCATTCTAAGGTCTGCAGACCAGTTAAGTGGAAAATACGAAGCTTAAGCAAATTCAGAAAGACACCTATTAGCTATATTTCTAATTCTATTCTGAACTCTTCATGAGAACTTGCCAAACCTTTTAGCCTAGTCTTTTTCAGAGTAAAGGTCAGTTTAATGTCTGGAAATAACTGCAAGGTTGAAAGTAATTTTCAGAGGAGGCTGTGTAATACAGTTGAAAGCTTAACAGAGGAGAAGTGAGAAAGCCTGGCTTTGATACAGTTGAAAGCTTAACAGAGGAGAAGTGAGAAAGCCTGGCTTTGATACAGTTGAAAGCTTAACAGAGGAGAAGTGAGAAAGCCTGGCTTTGATACAGTTGAAAGCTTAACAGAGGAGAAGTGAGAAAGCCTGGCTTTGATTCCATCACCTCTAGTAAGTGACTTAAGCTCTATGCCTCAGTTTCTTCCGCTGTAAAAAGAAGGCACTAGTCAGGAAAGTCTGGAAGGTCTCTCCCAGCTCTAAAGTGCAAAAAGGTATTAATAACAGCAGTAGCATTGAAATGCTGTTCCAGATATCATTTTGATTAAGACAAACTTGAAACCAAAGTCCAAAACTTTCCATGAGCAGAAGAGACTGGGAAAATGTCTAAATCAGGGAATACTGAGTCTTCCTGAGAACAAGACAGAAATATTTTTAAAGGCTTTAAAAATGGTACAATCTAAATGCTGCCAAAAATAATAAAAGAGTTTGAACCATATTTATAAACCCACAATTTAAAACTAAGACAAACAACCAAAAGTCACATAATTTTAAATAAAAATAACATTCTCTATATTCTTTTTGAAAAATAGGAAAAAACTGTTATACAGTATGCCTTCCTGGATGGACATTTCACAATTTTTTCTATTGGTAAAAAAAATTGCTCAGCTAGAATAGGGGACTGGTCTGGGATCTATAATCACTTGTATTTTATCAAGGCTATGGGAGAGACCCAGCAATACCAGATGAAGAGTGTAAATAGTGGATTCCTTATGGAATCAAGGTTGGCTTGACTTTTTTTCCCCCACAAGTAACCTGGGTAAGAGAATGCAAAAAGATTAATTTTATATGGCTAACAGAGGACAAAATAGTACAGAGAGAAGAATGTGCCAGAAGGCATTTTTTTAATCTCAATCTAAAAAATTTTCTAAAAACTAAAGACGAACAGTGGAACAGAATGCCTCTTGAGGTGGTGCACTTCCTATGAGTCTTTTCATTGCAGTTATTCCAGCAGAGAGTGGAAACGCTATCTGGTCCAGAATGTTCTGGAAGAACCTCCAACATTGGGAGGGAGTTTCAACTAGATGACATTCCCTGCTACCATAGGTCTCCATCTCCCACTTAGGAGGGAAGGGTCCAACTAATGTATTATACATGGCTACCTCTATCAATCAGCAATTGCAATGCTTCCTAACTCTAACTACTGCAGATAATGGTACTGCCTAAAACTAGCAGGCAAAGTCAATTTCATCTTTTCATTTTACGCTAGTTTTGATTAAAGTCAGAAAGGGTCTCATGTAACTTATAAGTCTAAGAAAGAAGAGAAAAAGAAGGAAGGACCCCGGCTGGTGCTTCTTCTAACCCCACATGTGCGCTGGTTACCAACAATGAGGGAGGGAATGTGGAAGAGAAACAAGACCTGCCAATATTTTGCTTTTGTTCCTCTTCTTTACCCTGTGAGCATGGCCTTCTTTTTGTCATCTCAGCTCCCAACTCTGCTCCTCAGCATCCAACCTCAATCCCAGTCTGGTCTTTCCACATCTCTCATTCCACATCTGTCACTCCTGACCCTGTTCCTCATCCCTAACTCCCACCCCAGACCCATGTATCCAACACTAGGGGTTCTCTCTTTAGGTCACAGGTACAGCACACACTCTAGCATGAAGCTGAAAGCACCTAGGAAACCAGTATGTGGTATGTAGAAGAAGAGAAGGTGATTCCTCACTCCAGGAGTCAGGACACAAGTGAAACCAGGATGTGGTCTTGGCACTCCACTTTTCCTCTTATTATACATATTTTTTAAGTTCCGTAGTTTTATTAGTTCTATATTTCTGGTATATTATGTGTTAAAAACATTTTTCTAGTATAGACTGGGAAGCTAAAGCCTATATATCTCAGTTTCTTTGAAAACACTTTTAATAAACTAAACCAACAAATGAATTCAAAAATAATCTTTTATTAAAATCTTCATGTCTCATAGACCAGAGTAAACGGGGTTGTTGTTAGTTGCTGTTGAGTCGGTTCTGACTCATAGTGACCCTATGTACGATAGAACGAAACATTGCCCGGTCCTGTGCCATCCTCACGATTATTGCTATGTTTGAGGCCATTGTTGCAGCCACTGTATCAAGTCATCTCATTGAGGGTCTTCCTCTTTTTCACTGACACGCTACTTTACCAAGCATGATGTCCTTCTCCAGGGACTGGTACCTCCTGATAACATGTCCGAAGTACATGAGACAAAGTCTTGCCATCCTTGTTTCTAAGGAGCATTCTGGCTGTACTTCTTCCAAGACAGATTTGTTCATTTTTCTGGCAGTCTATAGTATATTCAATATTCTTCGCCAACACTATAATTTAAATGTATCAATTCTTCTCTCGTCTTCCTTATTCATTGTCCAGCTTTGGGATTAGACTTCAAGAAAATAAGTTACTTCTCTGTGGAACCCAAATCAACTTCACATATAGGATTTGTTTGACTTGGGGGTAGGGGTGGGAGATAGGTCAGTATAGTGTGTGTGGGAATCCTTTAATTGTATCTACTAACTGTAATATCAATCTAATGTACAGAAGTGGTAGGAAAAGATAAAAATATAATTAGGAACTAAGCAAAACAAATTTTGTTGGCAGACTGATACTTAAAAGATTTCCAAAGCATCACAATAATTAAAAAATTTTGCATCAGAGACAGGAAAAAATATCCTTCACTCACAATCCCACTCTTCTTCTTATTAGGTTTATACATTCTATTTCAATTTTTTTCACATAAATGTATACTTTTATAGACACCTTTATGTTTATTGCTCTCAAATAGTAAACCGAGGGTTATGAGTAGCAGCAGATATATAGAGAATAATTTTTACTTTAAAAAATCTGGGGATCACACATGTAGAGATTCTTTCAAGTTATTTGAGGTCCCAGCAGTGAGTCACAAAGCACGTTACTCGAGAGTAGTCTACCCCGTCTACCTGCACTTTGGTTCTATTTACTAATCTACGCATTTACTTTTTTTAGTTGTTCTACTAATGTACCTGACATTCAAGTACTAACTTTTACAACAATTCCATACTTATTTGGAAATGGTTAGTTTTTTGGTTTTTTTTGAGTAGGGAAGTGTGGAAGAGAAGTGGGTAAGTAGAGAACTCACTTTTGACAGCACCAACAAGTGTTCTACTTCGCTGATTCAGCATTCTAACACTGCTTGGTACACAGTAGGTACTTCATAAATGCCCACTGAATGACTCCAGCAACCTCAAACAAAGCTGAGAGACAGGGCCCCAATGTCATTTCTAATTCAACAGGTTCTCCTTGACAAGGTCAGAGAAGGCAGAGCCAGACAAGGTCAAGAGCAGTTGTGGACTTAGAAGGTAGAGCTAAATGTAAAAAGAACTCTAAAGAAAAAACTGGCATCAGGGTCAAGCTTTGATTTAGATAAAAATCAAGAGTTGAATTACCTAGGGAATGAGTATTTTGGAGGCCAATGGTTCAGGCAAAACTAGGAACCAAGCATTAAGGATCAGAAACCACACAGAAGCCTGAGATCAGGAATCAGTAAACAATGGATCAAAGGCAGGCAGCCAAAAAACAGAAATAATGTTCCAGAGACAAAAGTGATATTGAAAATGAAGCCTAGTCTACCTTAACCCAGAGTATTTTACAGCTGCAAAAGAAGATTATACCAGGATTTCCAGGCTCCTCATTTGTAGATTACCCAAGTAGGGTGGGACAGACAGCGCTAACCAGACTGGCTGGCTCAGAGACTGTATGCTCTAAGGCAGTCACCCTCAAGTGGCAGGTTCTCACTCAGGCTGTCTAATACAATACAGTCACTGCCCCTGTATTGCCACTATAACCTTTCACTCTCTGTACTATACATTTATAGACTGGTCAGATAGGAAGAAGTGACAGAGTATGCATGTGAAGCTGCTAGATTTCTGGATAAAGAACTGAGTCCTCCAGTGTGGTGTAGTAGGAGAAAGCACAAGCAGGGAGCTGGGATATATGAGTCCAGATTCTGTTTCTATTACAATTTGGTTATGTAACCTTGGTGAAGTCACTTAAGCTCCTTGTGCCTCACTTTCCTATTATTTAATGTGAGGGACTAGTTTAGAATAAATTCTGAATTTACACTTTCAGAAGTTAGTGTAGAGATGAGAGGCTAGGGCAGGTTTTGAAATGGGATTCAGTATGTGATTATTCAAATACATAAAGCTTCTGCCATTCTAAGATGCCTCATGTCATCTCTTCTTCCCAAGCACAGTCAAGTGTGGGGTTACTGAAGACAGTACCCTCAAAATAGAGCCTTTGAGCCTTTCAGCTACCCTTTGAGCAAAATGTTAATGTTACCGTTTAGATTTCTGGAACTTGTAAAGAATTAAATTTGATTATCAGGTCACTAGCTGATGACAGTAAAAGAGCCCTGGTGGCACAATAGTTAAGCACTTGGCTGCGTACCCAAAGGACAGCAGTTTGAACCCATCGGCCAATCAGAGGAAGAAAGGCATGGTGGTCTGTTTCTATAAAGATTACAACCTTGGAAACCCTAGGGGGCAGTTCTACTCTGTCCTACAGGGTTGCTATGAGTTGGAATTGACTTAATGGCACACAACAACAACAACTAATGACAGGAGGATTTTCTGACTTTTCTCTGGTGATTAAAGAGATATTCCACATATAAATGAATGTTTTAATTAACTAAATTAATTCACGCTTATTCTTAAGTTGAGGAAAAAGCTAAGCCTATGGAGAAATATTAAAGCTGATCAGTGGACTTGGGGAACTGTAGCCAGCTGAGATGATTCGAGGATTTGGGGGGCTAAGTCTTCCTGTGGCTTGACCAACTCTGAACTGATTTTGAAAGTCTTTCACAAGTTAAGTTACTGACTGGTCCTCAGGCCATGGTTGAGTAGATGTGGTCTACGGGACGTGGGTGTGCGCCTGTACCGTGGGGGCAGTGTGGGTGTCACCTTCTGCCAGTACTAAGCCTCATCAATGGGCATCTGTGTGTAAAGACACTGCATGACCCAAAGGGAAGACTGGGGTAAATCTGTTTTGGATGATTTCATGATGTTTTTAAATTTCTGAAAATTTCTAATAATGTACAAGCTTCACAGGTGATAGTTTAGACACTATGATATGTAACACACCTGTGGGAATGTCAGCCATTGGGATGGTAATGAATCTGTGCTTAAACCAAAAGAAGAAGAAGAAAAAAAAAAAACCGTTGCCGTCGAGTCAATTCTGACTCATAGTGACCTGCAGGACAGTAGAACTGCCCCATAGGGTTTCCAAGGAGCAGCTGGTGGATTCGAACTGCTGACCTTTGGTTAGCAGCCATAGCTCTTAACTACTGCACTACCAGGGCTCTAATCTGTGCTTAGAAGGGTCTAATTTGTACATTTCAGTTTTGTGCGTGCTTTTAAAAATACAACTGAAAACAACCACCACTTCCCACCCCCCGTCCCCAGCAAACAAAACAAAAAACAGAACCAAGTGGCAAGATGAGTAAGAAAGAACAGTACAGACATCAGATGCTTTGGATCAGGTATTAGACAATGGAACAGATTAGAAACAAAAAAATACAAACGACATTATGGAAAAAGTGACCAACTCTGACAGTGAGGTCGGGGAGGGTGGTAGGAGAGAAAGATCAGTTAAAGACAACTTCCAGATGTGTACTAAGGAGACAGTGAGGATTTTACTCAATGGAAGGATTTGGGGAATACAGTCAGGTTTAATCATCTAATTTTTACAAAATATTTATTAGTTTTCTAATTATAAAAGTAATACTTTCTCATTATTAAAATTAAAGAAAAAACCCTCAGAAACCTACAGATTATCATTAATTAGGTATATTCATTTCCAGTGTTACTTACTTATTTATTTTTGGTGTTTTTAAGTATACCATGTGTGGATTTTTATATTTGCTATTTTTATTTCACAAAATATAATACTTCCTATTTTTAAACATCTCTACCAACATTTTGTGGGTTCCAAAATATTTTGTAGACTATATTGTTTTATTTTACTATTCCCTTTTAACCATTAGAATTATCTTTGATGTTTTAATTATTAGAATTGTCGTTAAATTTTTTATTATATATAATTCTGTGATGAACATCTTTTTGCAAATTAGAATTATTTCCTGAGACTAGATTCCAAAAAGTAGAATCATTGGGTAAAAAATAAGAATTTTTTAAAGCTCTCGATATATATTGCTGAATTGCTTTCCAAAAAGTTTTTAAAATTTATTCTCATACTTGCATTAGATAAGAATGCCATCTCATTGTACTCTTACCAGCTCTTAGTAATGTATAGATGCAGGCATTATATTTGTTTATATTTTAACTTACTATTCAATGTCTATTTAGTCCTAGATTGGTCCTCTAAGACAACATGAAGGAATATGTGCTCCTACTGTTCTTGGCTTTGTGCTCTGCCAAACATGTCTTTAGCCCTTCATATATGACTTTAAAGAATATGATGCTGAAGGATATGGAAGATTCAGATGATGATGACAATGACAATGATAACTCTCTTTTTCCAACAAGAGAACCAGTTAACCCCTTTTTTCCATTTGATTTGTTTCCAACATGTCCCTTTGGATGTCAGTGCTACTCGAGAGTTGTTCACTGCTCTGATCTAGGTAAGAATATAAATCAACTTTGCTTTGAAGAGTAATGTTATTCTGACAAAATTAAAAAGATGGGAAAAGTCCTCACTGAAATTTCAAAAATTATCTTATTGATTGTAAAAGACTTTTTCATTTAGATTTTTAGGTGGAAAGTATAGCAAAACCCAAAGTATGTCCAAACTTATTTTAAAAATCCAGAAAATCAGTGGACAAGAATGGAAATTTTACATACAGGACATTTTCTGCTCATCCTGAATTGAGTTAAAGAGCTTCAGGTCAATTTCCTTGAGAGAGAATGGCCATCCCTGTGTTTCAGCTCAGGGTGGGAGCAGGTGGAGAATGTACTTTCTAGTAAAATTCTACTGTAACAAAATAAGTTGCTTGCCCCAAACAATGAAATGAGTCACAGAGAGTTTGTGAAATCTCTAATCTAGAAATGTTAACGATAATGCTCTATTTTGTTTTGAATGATTTAGGCTTAGAACTGCCAAGGAGAGAAGTGGCTAAACTTAATCACTTCCTAAAGTCTCTTCAAAATTTATAATTCTCTGCTTTGTAGGTTTACTCCTATAGGAGTAAACAATAGGGTCACCTATTGTTTTGAAAACTGAGTATTTCATTTCATTTTTTAAATAAATCCAATGAAGAAACAGGCAAACAGAACAATGCTCTCCTCAGGGAGGGGACTGCATGGGAATGCACATTGGTAATGACTGCACTCGCCTGTTTTCAAAAAGGGAAGGCTGAGACATATTTGCTGTGGGAAGACAACATCTGGTAAATACAACGCCCATTCTGGGTGCTGATTACATCTCAGCGGTACTTCATGCATCCATACGTGCAGAAGATGTCTCTGAAAGCTTTAGGACTAGATTTCTTCTGCCACAGCATTTGTGGCAAGTCAGAAGCTTGCTACACTCAAGAGACTTCAATGAAATTGCGCAGTTATTTGAGAAAATAAGTAAGGTGAACAAAAAGCATTTAGAAAAGGAGTAGGTTATTACAAGCTAGAATCACTGGCAAAGTCTTAAAGGAATAGATGGGATAAAAATATATCTATCTGTTTTTGCACAGTTAGATATAAACAAGGTTGGTTCTGGGTAAGACTGTAAAAGGAGCTTTTTATCTTTAGTATAAACCACTCCCATGTGCTGGCCTTCCTAATTTCTTGTTCATAGCCACTGGAGGACACACTGCACAGCACTGCTCCAGTACACAACTGTCATCCAAGAAATGAGGAAAACCAAACTGCCTAGTGACAGCTTGTGGAAAAGTACTTTGGTTACACAGTCTTCTGAATATTTAGCTTTGACAAATACCTACTAAATTAAATTCACCTAAGAATATCTGTGATATCAGTATGACACATACATTTAAAATGACACATCAGCAGCAGCAATGACCACTGATGATAAAAACAAAAATTTTACAAGGATCTGGACACTTCTCACCCGTTCTCCTTCAGGAAATGAGACTTTTTCCAGAGCTTCAATTTTTAATGAGGGATAGGGTGGGAGCAAGTTTGCCAAAATCAACAGCAGATTCCTTTCTGAAGAATCCCCGTTTCCCACAAGAACTTCCACTTCATTTTCCAAAACCAATATAATCTCCTATGCTCGTAAGGATGGCAAAACTAATCTATTCTAAAAAACAAACAAAACTGCCCCTCCACCTTGCTAACTATCAAGTTATCCTCTTTTTCCTCTTTCTACCTATGATTAAATTTCTACAAGGTGTCAATTTTAAAGAACATATGGCTGTAAAGTAGAATGTTGACATTAAAAATATTTAGTTGTTGAATTCTTCAACCTGGGACTATTAAATATACCAAGACATAGCTACTTCAGAAGTAAGGATGGCCCCACCAAAAGTATAACTAATGTCTGCAACTCACTTTAAAATAGATAAAAAACAAGATGAGTTGATGGACAGACAGTTAAGTGTTAATATATAAAATGTTGATGGTAGAAAGTAGGTAGTAGAAATGTGAGTCTTCACTGTAAAACTCTTTAAACTTTCTGTATGTTTGAACATTTTCAAAATAACATGTTAAGAGGAAAAAAGAAGGCTCTATGCTCACCAAGCCTAACTTTGTGTGGCATGTCTGACAATAAGTAGAAGGTGGGTATGTTCAGTCCAAAGACTGGCCACCCAGGTAAAGCAAGAAAAATAAGGAAGAAATATACCATATATAGCTCCTGATAATTTTCTGCTGATTTTTTTTTTTAATCCAAGAGGAGAAAAAAAAAACACATTTAAATCTTTTAATCATTTAATTAATATTTATTGAGGACTTACACAAAGAGAAAGTATGCAGCTGTACCTCATTCTGAGATGACAGAAAAGAAAACTATTATCGTACCAGCAAAGAGGGACGGTGACTAAAAGGTAGGCCCAAATAACCTTAAACTATGGTGCATGGCTGGAAAATAGTTGTGAGCCAAGCCACTTCACCTTTACACTGATGATGTGGATGATTAGAAATAGATGTTAATGAAGAGTTACAAATGAATAAGTTTTTGTAGATCCAATAATTTATACCTAATTAGAGAAGCTCACTACTGAAAGGAAGCGGGTAACAAAATTTTTGATACTGCACACGAAAATAATCTAATTTACCTATTTTCTACCCACTTGTTCCAATTTGGCACTACAACAGCCTGAAACTTTGAAAAGAACATTGCTATTCCTCAGACAAAAGTGACTCACCAGAAGCTACGCTTAGCTGTCAGTAACCTCTTCATGGTGACACTGGCAGCCCTCATTTACCTCCATTTAATTTCATCTTAGGAGCCCTGCTGGCGCAACATTTAAGCGCTCGGCTGCTAATTTTAGGGTTGGTAGTTCGAACCCACCCAGCGGCTCCAGGGGAGAAAGACTGGGCGATCTGCTCTAGTAAAGGTTACAGCCCAGAAAACCCTATGAGGTAGTTCTACTCTGTTACTGGAGTTACTGTCCTAGTTATCTAGTGCTGCTATAATGGAAATACCAGAAGTGGACAGCTTTAATAAACAAAAATTTATTTTCTCATAGTTTAGGGGGCTAGAAGTCTGAAATCAGGGTGCCGGCTCTCAGAGAAGGCTTTCTCTGTTGACTCTGGAGGAAGATTCTTGTCTCTTCTGAGCTTTGGCTCCTGGGTGATCTTCATGTAGCTTGGCATATCTCTTCCCCAGTCTCTGCTTGCTAGCTTGCTTTTAATTTTTTTTTTAATCTCAAAGGACATTGACTCAAGATATACCCTACACTAATCCTGTATCATTAACATAACAAAGACGACCCATTCCAAATGGTATTATAATCACAGACAGGGAGGTTAGGATTTACAACATATATTTTGGGGGGACACAGTTCAATCCATAACATTCCACATTTTGGCCCCCCAAATTCATGTCTTCCCAACATGCAAAACACATTCATTTCATCACCTCAACCCAAAAGTCTTAAATAACTCCAAGTCCAAAATCTAATCTTCTGAATAATCAAATCAAATATGGATGAGACATTAGGCATATTCTATCCTGGGGTAAAATGCCTCTTTATCTGTGAACTTGTGAAATCCAGACTACAAGTTTTCTGTTTCCAAAGTGCAGTGTGGAACAGGCACAAGGTAGACATTTCCATTACAAATGGGAGAAATTGGAGGGAAAGAAGAGATAATGGCCACCAAGCAAGTCCAAACACAGCAGAACACATTACATTAGCTCTCAAGGCTTGAAAATAATCCTCTGTTCTCTGAGACCATCTAGGCAATGACCCTGCGGTCCAGACTCTGGGTGTTGGCCACACTTTCTGGATTCTGGGTGGAAGCCCCTCGGCCCTGGGCTTCAGCTCCACCTTCCAGGCCCACTGGGACGGCAACTCTGCTTCCTTGGCTTTGGGCAGCTCCATTCTACCAGTCCATCTGAATGGCGATTCTAGCCCCTCAACCCCAGCAGGCCCCATTCTTCTGCCCGTTGGGCATGGCAGCCTCACCCCCTCAGCTCTGGGCAGCGGCCCCATGCTCTTGACCAAACTGAATGGCAACTCCACACTCCAGAACCAAGCTGGTGAAGATCTGACTCTTTGAAACCTACGAGGCTGTGGCTTTATCCATTGAGACCCTGGAGGCCCCAGGCAGCTCTGCTTCCTGTGTTCCTTCCAACAGTTCTGCTGTTCTCCCAGCTGCTCCAGGGATGGTTCTTTTCTTTTCTTTTCTTGGAAGACAACAGATGTAGCTCCTTTGGCCTGTTTCCTGCCTGAGGAATTCCAAGACGTAGACAGCTTCGTCTCCTTTCTTTCTTTCTTTCTCTGTCCCCTTCAGTCTAAGCTGATGGTTTTCTGCTGTGGTAGTTGGTTAGATACATCAGTCACAGGCTTAATCTCTTCAACAAAAGATTGTGTAGCCACATCTTTGGTGAAAATTCTAGGGCACATGTCCTTAGTTTGTACAAGAGAATTTTCCAAATCTTTAAGTTTTCATTTCATTTTTCACAGTTCATTTTTAAGTCCATCGCTTTCCTCTCGCCTTTTACTACAAGCAGCAAGGAGAAACCACGTGGCCCCTTTAAGATCTTACATAGAAATCTCCTCAGCCAGATATCCAAGATCATCACTTACAAGTTCTACGTTACACCAAACATTTGAACATAATTCAGACAAGTTCTTTGCCACTGCATAAAAAGTATCAGCCTTCTTCCATTGTCCAATCACATGTTCATCATTTTCTTTTAAAGCCTCACCAGAAGCACATTTAACATCCACATGTCTAGCAACATTCTGTTGCTGGTGCCATATGTATTCTCTAAGACGACAGAGACTTTCTCTATAGCTCTCCTCACTTCCTTCTTAGCCCTCACCAGAATTGCCTTTGACTTCCATAATTCTGTCAAAAGTCTCTTCAAGGAAATCTAGGTTTTTACTATCAGGCACCTTAAAACTCTTCCAGCCTCTATTCATTACCCAATTCCAAAACCGCTTCTACATTTTAGGTATCTGTTAGAGCAGCACTCCACTTTTCCAGTACCAATTTCTGTCTTAGTTATCTAGTGCTGCTATAAGAGGAATACCACAAATGGGTGGCTTCAACAAACAGAAATTTATTTTCTCACAGTTTAGGAGGCTAGAAGTCTGAAATCAGGGTGCTGGCTCTAGGGGAAGCCTTTCTATCCCTGTTGGCTCTGGAGTAAGGTCCATGTCTCTTCTGAGCTTCGGCTCCTGGGTGATCTTCATGTGGCTTGGCATCTCTCTTCCCTGGTCTCTGCTTGCTAGCTTGCTTTTAATGTCTTTTATATCTCAAAAGAGATTGACTCAAGATATGCCCTACACTAATCCTGTCTCATTAACATAACAAAGAACACAATCCCAAATGGGATTATAACCACAGGTACAGAGGTTAGGATTTACAACACATATTTTTGGGGGACATAGTTCAAAACTTCCAACAGTTGCTGTGAGTCAAAAATCGACTCAATGGCACCTAACAGCAACAACAATTTTACCTTGGAACAGATGAACAGTGACAGCTCGACCAAGCTAGACATATGAGCAGATGGCTCATCCTTGTAAAAACAATTAGGTTACTTGAAAAGGTCTTTAGGCCTTTCCAAAAAGAATGTTTTTGTCATCAGTTGCAATGGTTAAGTCTTCTGTTACTTAATGATAACCATGGGTAAAAAAATATATATTTTTTAACCATATTAATTTCATTTTTAGCATAATTTTCCATTATATGATGTTTGTTTATTTCTCAGGTTTGAACTCAGTCCCAAGCAACATTCCATTTGATACTCGAATGTTAGACCTTCAAAACAATAAAATCAAGGAAATAAAAGAAAATGATTTTAAAGGACTCATTTCACTTTATGTAAGAATATTATGTTCTTATTTTCAATATCTAAGTGAATAATCTATATCACTGCTGAATTGATTAATTGTATTGTGTTAGTGTAAACAAGCCTTACTCTTCTGTGTGTGAAGAATGAGAAAATTCCTGTTATTCAACAGTGTTCTAGTTAATGAAAAATTATAGATTTAATTCAACTGATGTTTGTCAAACAATAGCTAGGTAAAAGGCAGTGGGCTAAGAGTTTAAGTAAATGGTCCTTAAATGAGCTTACAATCTACTCAAGTAATAACAGTCACTATACATTATAATGAATAAGAAAAAAAAATTATTTACAGGAACTCATTGGCATAGAAGGAGCCCTGGTGGTACTTGGCTGCTAACTGAAAGGCTGGCAGTTCAAACCCACTGGCAGCTCCATGGGAGAAAAGACCTGGTGATCTGCTCCCAGAAAGATTACAACCTAGACAACTCTATGGGGCAGTTCTATTCTGTCACACTGGGTCACTATGAATAAACATTGACTGACTTGACGGCACCTCACAACAACACAATATTAGCATAGAGTGTAAGAAAATCTTTACCTGAACTCACTGCCTTATCTTAGGACATAACAAATCTCTAACAGCAGCACATGGAATATATCTAATTGACTAATATACATTTGTATGGTTTTCTTTCTGGGCCTTCAGAGATGTAAGGGCATTTTCTTCCTTACTATCTTTATGAAGATCATTTTAATTTTCTAAGATGTAAAAGATTCTCAACGATTTCTCTATTTAACATTTGGAGACTTATAAATTTTAGCTAGAAATATTTCTAGTTTAATTTGAAGTTGAGTTTGGAGGAGAGCCTGATTTCACAGTACCAAGCCCTGAAGGTATCATCTTTCCCTTGGGACCTTGCCCTGGCCTTGCTGAATTTCCCTCCTTATTAGGGTGGAGCAGCTTGTTTTTTTGCATTGCGGTGGGTGGTAAGCGAATATGATTCTTCCAGGCCATGTTCCATATTCTCAGGCTGAGTTAGAGAAAGCAAAGAAAAAAAAAAAAAAGCCTGCCATCTCCAGTTAAGTTATAGCACTGAGAGGAGAAGGCAGAAAATATCACAACCATATTAGGCCTGCTCTTGTTCCTGTAACTGAGAGGTGTAATGTTGAGATGCTAGTTCACCCTTGCCTCAAGATCACCATCAGATAAATGCAGTGGACACTTCAACCCTGTGGATACTTCTAAGCAGGGAGGGGAAAGTGACTACTGAGTTCCACTATGCAAACCAGTCCTTGTCTGTTTTCATTGGCTGGATGAGCAGGATATTAATGTTTATTGAGGGCCAACTATGTTCTAGACACTGTGAAGGATGCTCTTCACTTATGTTCTCTAGCTTAATCCTTACAAGTCTGCATGGCAAGGAGCAGAGCCCAGAGCAGGGCCCCGGATGGCCTGCCTGCAAAGGCCATGTTCTTTCTACTGTACTATCATGTACCTGGTGCTCTCTGGGATCTTCCTCACTTCTTCTCTTTCAAATGTATATTCAGACTGCTCTTATTTGTTAAGCCTCCACACATAATACAGCTTTGACATTAAAAAAAATAAAAAGAGCAACTGGAAGAGCATATATTTGTTTCATAACTGAGGCATCACTTAAATATTAAGACAATCAGCAATAACACAATGTATTCCACTGAAGATCCATCCAGTACACTCCACTAACCTCAGAGCAAAGAAACTTCTGGAGAATGGCTTTTCCATTCTTCTACCATCATAGGTTGGAAATATAGCCTACGAATACTTCAACCACCTCCTCAATTCATATCCAGCATGTACAATCACAAGAATAATAACTAATGGCATATTTAATACAGAAGCATAAAATGTTTTAAATTTGTCATATAATCACTTCATTAAAGTATTAGGAGTATTTCAGGGACTTAGTCCACAGGTATTCTCACTATTCACTGAGAAATGAGAATCTAAAAGGTGTTAGGAGCTGTCTTAGGCCGCCTAGATTGTGCTTAAGAGTGAATATTTTGGAGTCAGGCAGACCTGGCCTCAAATCTTGGCTCTACCAAATATATGACACTGGGAAAGTGGCTTAATCTCCCTAAGCCTTAACTTCTACAGCTGTAAAAGGAGTATAATATTAGTATCTATATACATAGAGTGGTTATTAAAATTAAATGAGCTAATACATAAGGTTCCCAATACATATCAGGCAAGCACTCAGCTGTTAACTATTATTACCACCAACTTAGTGTTAGCCAAATGAATCACAACATACTAATTTAGAGCACCTTTTAAAACATATACTTTGTACTTGAATTGCGTTCACCTTTTGTCACTTTCAAAACATTTATTTAGTTATAATATCACCATATGTGGTACCTGTCTTGAAAGGGAATTATATGTTTTTTAGATAGTCTATAAATTCTATTATGTTTTAGCTGCTTGTATGACATTCTGGTTCTTAAAAAATGGACAATACAGTATTAGAGAGTGAGACAGATCATTCAAAAAACATACACACAAACAGACATTTGCAGTTTTTTTCTAACCTATTATTATAGCCACATTCATTATGAAGAATTATTGCCCTACTTTTGAAAGGCTATACTTTTCTCATCTTCTGTCTTTACATATAACCACATTTTTTGTCAATGACAAATTTGGAGCTCTGTGACTTCCAGTTTGGGAATTTACATGTAAAAGCCAACACTGAAAGTATAGTTTAACTGGAGACACTCTGCCAAGCCAACACACTAGGGCAACATTTAATAGTGCTAAATAAAAACTCTTCTCCTACTTTGTATTACTTATCCTTCCTTCTATGCAGCTCCAACAACTTCATGTCTTAACCAGAGGAAAAAGAACAAACAAAAAACCACACTCATCATAGCTGGATCTTTACTAAGGCATACATTTACTCTGGGGCTCATGACAGGGAAGCCTGACACAAAGAAAGAACAAAGGATTTAGAGGCAGAGGGCCTGGGATCTGAGAGTTGTAGGGGAACCGAAGCCAAGATACTTCTCTTCATTGTGACTGTTTCCTCATAACTAAAATGATAGTGATAATTTCTGCTATCAAATGAAGTTTCACAACCACCTTTGTGATCCACCAAGTTGTTAAACTCCCTCCCTCCCCTTATTTTTCGGTATAACCAAAGGAAATTAGAATGAACTCTTAACTGACATCATACATTAAGAAAGAAGTATATTTTATCAGGCTTGGTAACATAACATAGTTTTAACTCTTCTCCTAGGTATAACCCTTCTCAGGCGTAATTTTTAACAGTAGTGCTATGTCTGAAAAGAAGGTGAGAAAAGAGAAGCAAAGGGCCTAGAATGAAATAAGTAAACATAATAAAAAGGAAGCTTATTTTAACTGCCAAAGAGTTTGTGTTTCTTCCGTGGGAAAACAACAACTTGAATAATACCAGTAAGGCATATTAAACCATTTTGGAAACAATGGGAAGATTGTTGTAGAAGAGGATTGGGGACAAAATCCATAAAAGAAAGAAATCTAGAGCTGTTCCTTGAAAGAAGTATATGATTTGGATTAGTAAAGAAGTACAAAAAGGTCCTAAAGAATTTTTAGCAACTTGCCATTGTCCTTGGAACAGTTGGAAAATTCTTTCTACAAAATCTGACAATATGAAAAGGGCTGAACTATGTCCATTTTTATAATGAATACAGCTATTAGGGTGACCAACTTGTCCCAGTTTGCCCAGACTTTCCCAATTGTAGTATTGAAATTTCCATGTCCCAAAAATCTCTCAGTTCCAGAAGACTGAGATGGTTGGTCACCCAAAGAGTCACGCACCCTTGAACATATCGTAAAGGACTTAGCTGTAGAGAAAGCAGAGTCCCTATGATAGCAAGCTCATCTACTCTCTGGGGTTATATCCTCTCTAAAGGGTACTTGACACACTGAGAAATAGTGACATAACTGAGGAGGGGTTGAGTCACTCTTCAGGATTCATTACTACCTCACAGGGGTTTGAAAATATGCCAGAATACTGATGAAACTTTCTATGTTTTTTTCCCCCTTACAGGTCTTTATTCTGGGAGAGATGATAAATATTAGTAGGCATGAAAGAAATGAGGATTTAAAAGTAAATAAAATCATGCAAAAATGTATTAAATCTGTAAATAAATTCTGAGATAAGACAGTAAAATTGGTCATTTTTCTGATGGGAAAGATGAGGTTAGAAATGAAGACTTGTCCTACTCAAAGATAAGCTAAATTGAAAAAGATGAGTTTGTATGTAAACCAAAGGCACAGAATAAGTCATTAAATCTTTGCATGCTGTTCCCACTCAGTAGTAAATATAGTTTTAGCTTGGAATGGGTTAGAAAATTATTTATATGGTTGATCAAGCACATGAATGACACAAATTACACTGATTTCCATGATTGATTAATCATTGTTAAATACAGATAAATATAATTCCTGACATTGTTTAACTTTCTATGCTTTATCTAGGGTCTGATTCTGAATAACAACAAGCTAACAAAGATTCACCCAAAAGCCTTTCTAAGCACAAAGAAGCTGCGAAGGCTGTATTTGTCCCACAACCAACTAGGTGAAATACCACTTAATCTTCCGAAGTCGTTAGCAGAACTCAGAATTCATGATAATAAAGTTAAGAAAATACAAAAGGATACATTCAAAGGAATGAATACTTTACATGTTCTGGGTAAGTTTTTCAAATGAATGGGACATCTTGAAATTATAAGCAACGTGAAATGTGAAGAAATTTATCATCATTATTAACAAATAACTGATTATTAACAAATTAACTGATAATTTCCAAAACTGATTTTTTGAATCTAATAATCCTTACCTAGAGTAGCCACTAAAAAATCATTGCAATATCAAACAAAATTTATAGCACTTAAAGAAAATATGACTTTGGTAACACACACACACAGACACATAAGCACACACACACACAAACACACAAACACACACATATATCTCTTTTGAAACACCTAAAATACCTAGTGTGGTTTCTGTTTTCTGACTGGGCCCTACTTGAGAAAATCTATGTTGTTCTTATTTAACATAAAGGTAGTATTTTTAATGGGTTCTATAAACTACTCATTATAATACTTCACTTTGCACATTATAATGACATGTGCAAAGACCTAGAGAAAGAAAACCAAAAGGGAAGAACATGCTTGGCATTTGTCAAGCTGAAAGAACTGAAGAAAAAATTCAAGCCTCGAGTTGGAATAGTGAAGGATTCTATGGGGAAACTACTAAATGATGCAGGAAGCATCAAAAGAAGATGGAAGGAATACACACAGAGTCACTATACCAAAAAGAATTGGTTAATGTTCAGCCATTTCAGGAGGTAGCATATGATCAGGAACCGATGGTATTGAAGGAAGAAGTCCACGATCCACTGAAGACACTGGCAAAAAACAAGCCTCCAGGAATTGAGGGAATACCAACTGAGATGTCTCAACAAATGGATGCAGCGCTGGAGGTGCTCACTCGTCTATGCCAAGAAATTTGGAGGACAGCTACCTGGCCAACCAACTGGAAGAGAGCCATATTTATGCCTATTCCCAAGAAAGGTGATCCAATCGAACGTGGAAATTATTGAACCACATGCAAGTAAAATTTTGCTGAAGATCATTCAAAAGCGGCTGCAGCAGTATATCGACAGGGAACTGCCAGAAACTCAAGACAGATTCAGAAGAGACATGGAAGGGGTATCATTGCTGATGTCAGATGGATCCTGGCTGAAAGCAGAGAATACCAGAAAGATGTTTACCTGTGTTTTATTGACTATGCTAAGGCATTCGACTGTGTGGATTATAATAAATTATGGATAACACTGCGAAGAATGAGAATTCCAGAACACTTAATTGTGCTCATGAGGAACCTGTACATAGATTAAAAGGCAGCTGTTTGAACTGAACAAGGAGATACCGCGTGGTTTAAAGTCAGGAAAGGTGTGCATCAGGATTGTATCCTCTCACCATACTTATTCAATCTGTAGGCTGAGCAAATAATCCGAGAAGCTGGACTATATGAAAAAGAATGCGGCATCAGGATTGGAGGAAGACTCATTAACAACCTGCTTTATGCAAATGACACAACCTTTCTTGCTGAAAACGAAGAAGACTTGAAGCACTTACTGATGAAGATCCAAGACTACAGCCTTCAGTATGGATTACACCTCAACATAAAGAAAACAAAAATTCTCACAACTGGACCAATAAGCAAAATCATGATAAATGGAGAAAAAATTGAAGTTGTCAAGGATTTCATTTTTCTTGGATCCACAATCAACACCCATGGAAGCAGCAGTCAAGAAATCAAAAGATGCTTCGCATTGGGCAAATCTGCTGCAAAAGACCTCTTTAAAGTGTTGAAAAGCAAACATGTCACCTTGAAGACTAAGGTGTGTTTGACCCACGCCATGGTGTTTTCAATCACCTCATATGTATGCAAAAGCTGGACGATCAATAAGGAAGACTGAAAAAGAATTGACAGCTTTGAATTGTGGAGTTGGTGAAGAATATTGAACATATCACGGACTGCCAGAAGAACAAACAAATCTGTCTTGGAAGAAGTACAGCCAGAATACTCCTTAGAAGTGAGGATGGCGAGACTATGTCTCGCATACTATGGACATATTATCAGGAGGGATCACTCCCTGAAGAACGACACTGTGCTTGGTGAAGTAGAGGGTCAGCAAAAAAGAGGAAGACCCTCAACAAGATGGACTGACACAGTGGCTGCAGCAATGGGCTCAAGCATAACAATGATTGTGAGGATGGCACAGGACCGGGCAGGGTTTCATTCTGTTGCACGTAGGGTCGCTATGAGTTGGAACCAACTCGATGGTACCTAACAACAACAACAACATAAATTACTCAAATATAACATACAAAATTAATTCAGATATTATTTGCAATATAGAACTAACTTTTGGTTAGACCTAAGGTTACATCTTTAAGATTATTAATCCAAGAAATTTTTTGTGGTATACCTTAAATCCCACCGTATTTTACTTCTACCACCCATCATATAACCATACCATTTCTCTCACATTATCTATTCAAAATTTCTAAGAAATATTCTCATTCATTTCTTTCATTTATTTTATTCAACCAAAGTGACTGGCATTTACCAAATAGCCTTATTTACTTAAATTTCCTCCGAGTTATATTTCTGTTAATCAAATCACCATTTCCAATTGACTTACAATTTTTTAAAAAGTTGTTGCTGCATGCCGTTGAGTCAATTTCGACTCATAGCAACCCTGTATGACAGAGTAGAACTGCCCCATAAGCTTTCCTTTAGGTACCAAATAAATGAAATGTACACTGGAAAACACGAACATTTTGGATTATAGAAAGAATGATCTTTCTTTTTTTTTCTGATGCAATATTACTATAATGAAGCCTTTATCATGTTCATGGTTGGAGGAGAGTACTAGTAACTTAATGATTTAGTAATTTAAAGGAAAATAGTGAGCCTGTTCTATATTCTAGCTTATGTAATAAGAAGAAGCCTTTTTCTGAGGCTGGCAGAAAGGGGAACAGAGAGAGAGAAGCAGATATACTCAGTGAAAATGAGCCTGAATGATTAAGTGTACATGAATCAGAATTTTCTTGGGATGTGTATCTCTGCATTGTAAGTTTCCTTCATATACAAATATGTATGCTAAATTATGTAATTTCCCCCACAGAAATGAGTGCAAATCCTCTTGATAATAATGGGATAGAACCAGGGGCATTTGAAGGAGTGACAGTGTTCCATATCAGAATTGCAGAAGCAAAACTAACCTCAGTTCCTAAAGGTTTGTATTTACTTATTTAATATAGAATATTTTAAAAAATCATCATCTTTAAATGAACATTAAATGTAATGTTGTAAACTGCAATATATGCATTGCCAAAACTACACTGCAATTAGAAATCCTTCTTACTAGTATATCTAGCCAGTGTAGTATGAAATTGACCATTTTCTCACCGACAAATAAAGTACTTAAACAACAAGAAGAGGCAAGAATTTTTTGTGCTCCAGTATGAACAAATACTAAGAAGAAATGAACTTTTTCTTCCCTTTCTCTTTCCTGACATTTATTCACCTATATTTGTCATTCTGTTAAGTACCTGTTAGAGGTAGACATTTCCATAAAGAAGAAAGCAGAGAAGATGGACGGGGCCAGAGAACCAGCCTCCCAAGCAGAACAGCAGTGGTTAGGTGTGAAGCCTGAAAGGACAGACTAGGGGACAAATGCGGGCTCTGCCAGGAGTGGCATGTCACCTGAGGCAAGGCCCTCTGTACTCCAGCTCCTTCTCAGGGCTGCTGTGAAATCAACGCGCCCATACACAGAGAGGTCTAGAGCAGTGTCTGGCATGTAGTAAGTGCCTGCTCATGACATTATCATTATCAAAATGAAAATTACACTCTCTCATAGCTTCATGTGACCTGAAGCTGGAACTTCAAAGTAAAACGGGTCTTAAGTTTGCTACATGACTATTAGTTTTTGGCCCATTATTTCCAAGTCCCCAGTCTGATGATCACCTGGATAGTATTGCCTTCCTTGGAAGCCATGCTTTCCTTTTCCCTGACAAGGGCTTGAGCTTTCTCTCTCTCTCTGCTTTGATGACCACCTAGATCTCAAATAACCCCGGTGATTAATAAAATTTCATTTTCAAATAGCTCTGTCTTTGAGTATCCACCTGTAATAGCTGCAACTTCACCATAACCTCTTTTCTACTAATCACCCCGTCCAAAAGATTAACAAAAACAAACATAGTAACTTAAAAGACATAGCAAAGGTGAAATTAATAATCAAGTGATGATGTTTCATTTAGGAGAAAAATCATCTGAAGAGTAAGGAGATGATGTTTCTATCTATAATAAAACATTTTAATTCAGAACCCCACAAATAAAAAAAAAACACCTTAATTTAGCTTTGAAGAAGATGGTTGTTTTCCTGCAAGAAACCTACAATGTTTTATTTACCTTTTTATCTTTAGAACAAAAAAGAAACAAACCTTTACTCAATAAGTTAAATAAATAAAATCTGTTGTGTATGGCAGAAGCAGATACAGGGAAAAGGAAAGGACAGAGTGAAGACAGAGACAGACCAGAAGACAAGGACAGGGAGGCAGAGGAAGCCTAAAGTTAGAGGCGGGGCTCAGCATGTCTTCACAAGTCATCACTGTTCTTTGAGGTTCACGTTAGCAGCCTTTTCTATACTGCAAAATATCGTGATTGCTATTTTCTTCAAATTTCATAGTGTATATAAAAACGGGTTTCCTTCTCATGAAGTTCTTGAGATTTTCCTAAGCCTAAAGGAATGTCTTAGGAAATTTACATTGGAATAAAATCTCTCAATTTACATAACTATTCCTTCAAGATCTCTTTGACGTTCACAAGGCAATAAAATTTTTTGTTTTTGTCATTCATTCACAAAAATGTTCAGGTTGACTCCCTAGATGTTAAAATCCAATCAATTTCACTTCTTGTGACTGAATGAAATCATTCAGAGCTCTAAACAGTCCTTACCAGATATAATTTAACATAAGGAGAGTGGAAAAATGTTTACTTCCCATTTGGAAAATTCTACTACATAATGGTGTGCAGGGAAATTTTTTAAAAATTTGAAAAAACCCATTCAAAGATAGAGTAGGAACAGCAATATTTGAGCAAAAGTATGTTAATGTTTGTCGGCAGTCATTGAGCTTCTACTCAAATTAACACCTTTGCTCATTTATCCTATAGAGGCTACACTTTTTTCTTTATTTATCTTCCTTCTTTATGTCTTAGGTGGCATATAAGTCTCCCTCAAGTTCTACACACCCTCTTTCAAGAAGTTTTCCTGACTTCTCAACATGTATAGAGATTTCCCTCTTCCTGACTTTCTAAAACATACTCTAGAATAGGCTGGCATACTGTATATTTTTCTAGTGATTTTTCTATGTATTATGGATTTCCTCAACTCAAATATAAGGTCTTTGAGAACAGAACCTTTGTCTTTTACATATTGGAGGGGGTGTATTGTCATTCCATGAACATAATTAAATTCAACTAATCAGAATTCAAGAAATTAGATCCCTCCCAGTTTAGAAGAATTATTTTTCTGCTCTCTAGTTTATTTATTAAAACTCGAAGTATATTCTAGAATCAACATAAATTCAGCCTGTAAAGAGTATTGATATTCATAAGGATGTCTTAATTACCTTCATCAGTCTTTACCATTAACATAAGAAGAAAATATTTTAGCAAGCGTTGGAATTTTCCAGGTAGCTAACTAGAACATTTGGTTAACAAATAATACTTTGTGGATGGAGCAGAGCTTTCAGGAACTTCATTTGCTGAGGTGGCACAACTCAAAATGAGAAGAAACAGCTGTAACTACCCATTAATAATCGGAACATGGAATGTACTAAGTATGAATCTAGGAAAATTGGGAGTCATCAAGAATGAAACAGACCACATAAAGATCGATATCCTAGGCATTAGTGAGCTGAAAGAGACTGTTACTGGCCATTCTGAATCAGACAATCATACGGTCTACTATGCCAGCAACGACAAACTGAAAAGGAAGGCGTCGCATTTGTCAAAAAGAACATTTCAAGATCTGTCCTGAAGTTCAATGCTGTCAGTGATAGGATAATATCCATTCGCCTACAAGGAAGACCACTTAATACGGCTATTATTCAAATTTATGCAAGAACCACTAATGCCAAACATGAGGAAATTGAAGATTTTTACCAACTTCTGAAGTCTGAAATTGATCAAACATGCAATCAAGCTGCATTGATGATTACTGGTGATTGGAAAGTGAAATGTGGAAACAAAGAAGAAGGACTGGTAGTTGGAAAATATGGCCTTGGTGACAGAAATGATGCAGGAGACTGCACAACAGAATTTTGTAAGATCAATGACTTCTTCATTGCAAATACTTTTTTTCAACAACATAAACAGTGACTATACATGTGGGCCTCACTGGATGGAAAAAAACAGGAATCAAATCGACTACATCTGTGGAAAGAGACGATGGAAAAGCTCAATATCATCTGTCAGAACAAGGCCAGGGGCCGACTGTGGAATAGATGATCAATTGCTCATATGAAAGTTCAAGCTGACACTGAAGAAATTTCAAACAAGTCCGCGCGAGCCAAAGTACAACCTTGAGTATATACTACTTGAATTTAGAGACCAACTCAAGAATGGATTTGACACACTGAACACTAATGACCAAAGACCAGACGAGTTATGGGATGATATCAACGACATCATACACAAAGAAAGCAAAAGGTCATTAAAAAGACAGGAAAGAAAGAACAAAATGGATGTCAGAAGAGACTCTGAAAGTTGCTCTTGAACATAGAGTAGCTAAAGCGAGAGGCAAAAATGATGCAGTAGAAGAGCTGAACAAAAGATTTCAAAGGGCAGCTTGAGAAGTTAAAGTAAAATATAATAAAATGTGCAAAGACCTGGAGTTAGAAAACCAAATGGGAAGAATACGCTTAGCATTTCTCAAGCTGAAAGAACAGAAGAAAAAAATTCAAGCCTAGAGTTGCAATGTTGAAGAATTCTATGGGCAAAATATTGAACAACGCAGGAAGTATCAAAAGCAGATGGAAGGAATAAGCAGAGTCATAGTACCAAAAAGAATTGGTCAACATTCAACCATTTCAAGAGGTCGCATACGATCAAGAACTAATAATGCTACTGAAGGAAGAAGTCCAAGCTGCACTAAAGGCACTGGTGAAAAACAAGGCTCCAGGAATTGACCGAATACCAACTGAGATGTTTCAACAAACAGATGCAGCACTGGAGGTGCTCACTTTTCTATGCCAAAAATCTGGAAGACAGCTGCCTGGCCAACCAACTAGAAGACATCAATATTTGTGCCTATTCCAAAGAAAGGTGATCCAACAGAATGTAGAAATCACTGAATAATATCTTTAATATCACACTCAGGTAAAATTTTGCTGAAGATCATTCAAAAGAGGTTGCAGCAGTACATTGACAGGGAAACTACCAGAAAATCAAGCTGGATTCAGAAGAGGACATCAAACTAGGGATATCACTGCAGATGTCAGACAGATCTTGGCTGAAAGGAGAGAATACCAGAAAGATGTTTACCTGTGTTTTATTGACTATGCTAAGGCATTCAACTGTGTGGATCATAACAAACTATGGATAACATTGTGAAGAATGGGAATTCCAGAACACTTAATTGTGCTCCTGAGGAACCTGTACATAGATCCAGAGGCAGCTGTTCAAACAGAACAAGGAGATGCTGCGTGGTTTAAAGTCAGGAAAGGTGTGCATCAGGGTTGTATCCTTTCACCATACTTATTCAATCTGTATGCTGAGCAAATAATCTGAGAAGCTGGACTATATGAAGAAGAATGTGGCATAAGGATTGGTGGAAGACTCACTGACAACCTGTGATATGCAAATGACACAACCTTGCTTGCTGAAAGTGAAGAGGACTTGAAGCACTTGCCGATGAAGATCAACGACTACAGTCTTCAGTATGGATTGCACCTCAACATAAAGAAAACACAAATCCTCACAAGTACACCAATAAGCAACATCATGATAAACAGAGAAAATGTTGAAGTTGTCAAGGATTTCGTCTTACTTGGATCCACAGTCAACGTCCACGGAAACAGCAGTCAAGAAATCAAACGACATATATCGCATTGGGCAAATCTGCTGCAAAAGACCTCTTTAAAGTGTTGAAAAGCAAAGTTGTCACTTTGAGGGCTAAAGGGCGCCTGACCCAAGCCATGGTATTTTCAATCATCTTGTATGCAAGCAAAAGCTTAACACTGAATAGGGAAGACCAAAAAAGAATTGATGCCTTTGAATTATGGTGTTTGCAAAGAATAATGAATATACCACGGACTGTCAGAAGAACAAACAAATCTGTCTTAGAAGAAATATAGCCAGAGTGCTCTTTGGAAGTGAGGATGGCAAGACTTTGTCTCACATACTTTAGACATGTTGTCAGGAGGGACCAGTCCCTGGAGAAGAACATCATGCTTGGTAAAGTAGAGGGTCAATGAAAAAGAGGAAGACCCTTGACGAGATGGCTGACATAGTGGCTGCAACAATGGGCTCAAACATAGCAACGATTCTAAGGATGGTACAGGACCAGACAGTGTTCCATTCTGTTGTACACAGGGTCGCTATGAGTCGGAACCGACTCGACAGCACCTAACAACAACAACTTTGTATGTAGGACTAATAAAATGAAGCTTGACTGCACTTTCTGATTTGTCTCTTTCATTCCAGCTTCAGCTAATCTGGGAGGACTAGGCACAGGATATGCAATGTACAAGGAAGAGAGAAGGAAGAGGCATTCGTTAAGCACCAACCATGGCCAGGTGGCATCTACAGATGCCTCTCTTAATTTATACAAAAACTACAATCAATTGAAAAGAATAAGCACTGCAATGGATTGACTATATCAAATATATTACAAATCCATTTGCTCATAATAATACTATAAAAATCTTCACAGGTCACCACTGGACAATGCACCCATTCATTACTGTGAACTCTGATAAAGGGAGAAAAAAATCAAGCATTTCTGCCACCTTTCTATAAAAACTGTAACTAAATAATTGATGAGGGGAAATTCTTTATAGAAGAATTCCAGCTAATAAATGCAGAAAGAATGACAAAATCAGAAATTCATGAATTTTCAATTCCTAATGAAATAATGAATCTAGGCAACAATTATCAATGAATGCTAAAACCATTAGGGGAAAGGATGCTGTATCTAAATCTAATAAAGTCTCTAGACCTAACTACAGATCATAAAAAATAGATTAGAGGTACACAGTAAGTGATACCATGTGGAAGTTTTATCCAAAACCAGCCAGATCCTTAATATGAGTATCTCAAACAAATCAATAGCTGAAACAACTCAGTAGAACAGGGAGAAAAAAAGAAGGAGTATGTTATAGAAGAAGAGATTTTAAGAGAGATAACTAAATGTGTTTTGTAAACCTTATTTGGATCCTGACATGAACAACTTTAAAAAAACATATTGAAGGCAATAGGGACAGTTGAATATTAGATGATATTAAATAATTATTGTTTATTTTTTTAGATGTGATATCACCAGAGTGGTTTTGTAAAAAATAAAAAAAGATGACCTTATCACTTAGAGCCATCTAGTGAAGTACTTCCAGGTGACATTTTATATGGGATTTGATTTTAAACACTTCAGCAAAAAATAAATGAATAAACAAGTAACAACAGAGAAATAAGTCAATACGTATATACGTGGGATAGATGAAACAAGATAAGAAAAATGGAGATAACTGTGAAGCTGGGCAACAGCATGACGGTTCCTAATATTAGTTTCTGTTTTTGTGTATGTTTACAATTTTCCATAATAAAAAGTTATAATTGCCTGAATATATAATCTCAAACTTATTAAGAAAATATATAAGCAATGGTCCTTTGCCATGATACCAGAAGAACTGGATGGTGCCATTACTGAACATTTCGATCAAAGATTCCATAGAAGAATCCTGACCAAAAGGGGGAAATGTAGAACAGAATTTGAAATGCTCATGGACTCCAGACTTTCTTATGGAGGGTGGATGTACCCCTGAGACTATTGCCCTGCGAATAGTAACAGTTCGATTAGTTTTTTGTTTAAACTTTAAACTAAAAATATCCTCTCAAGTCTTCTTAAAACCAAATAATAATTTAACTTAACTACTAAAAAATGTTTGCCTTGAGCATTATGCTCTTTTATATGGGATCAAACTGACAACAGCAACTTGAAAGATTAGGGGGCAGCGAGTTTATATTAATGAGGGAGGAACAACTCAGAAAAGGAGGGTGAGAATGGTTGCACAACTGAAAGAACGTAATTAATGTCACTAAATTGTACATGTAGAAACTGTTGAATTGGTGTATGTTTTGCTGTATACCACATTTTAAAGCAAATAATGTGTACCTTCTACGTTTGTTTGCCAACTGTGCCATCCCCCTGCAAGGTATTTTCATAAGTGCTGCCATGCCAAAATTTTTTTTACATGTTGCTGTAAAAAAATTAGCATAGTGTACTTACAAAAATACCTTGCAGGGGGAGGACGTGGTTGGCAAACAACGTAGAAGGTGTGCGTTATTTGCGTAAAATATGACATATTCTCAACAACAAAATAAATAAAATTTAGGAAACACACACACACACCCCTACACTTAAGTTCACTAACTGCTATACCAGGAGAATGGGCAATGGGATGACTCTCATCATTATATGCATTGCTAATCCTCTCTGAGAGGTACTGGCAGTTCAGTGGTACAATTCTTGCCTCCCATGCAGAAGACCCGGGTTCAATTCCTGGTCAATGCACCTCATGTACAGCCACCACCCATCTGTCAGTGGAGGCTTGCATGTTGCTATGATGCTGAACAGGTTTCAGGGGAGCTTCTAGACTAAGACAAGCTAGGAAGAAAGGCCTGGTGATGCACTTTCAAAAATCAGCCTATAAAAGCCCTATGGATTACAACAGTCCATTGTGCATGGGGTTGCCATGAGTCAAAGGCCAACTTGATGACAGCTAACAACAACAATTTTCTCTGTCACCTCTGCCTCCCAATTGGTAAATAGATCATAGATAGGCTGGAACTACAGAGCCTCATTCCCAAAGAGGAAACTTACCCTTGAGGACGAAGGGGCCACACTCCAGCTCTTTTATAAAGAACAACAAGTGATTACTATCTCTAGAGGCCAATGTTAAGAGAAGAGAAAAAGGTAGTACTTGGTGCTTCTTCACAGAAAAGCTTCACAGTGGATCCATAAATATATCCACTGGAATGCAGGACAAAACATTATGTATAAAAGATTGAATAGAAGATATATTACGCTATTGCATGGAATCCTATCCACGGGAATTTATACCTTTGATGTATTCTCCATTATAAGTGGTTCAGCTAGCTGGTAGAGAAGCTCAATTCATCTTACATCTTTTACAAACTATCAATATTATGGTTTATGCATTTAAACTGGAAATGGAACCAAATATTTGGGTTATTTATAATAAAAATATAAAAATGACAGTAATAATAAAAGCAATGGGGCTTGTTCTTACTTGATCTAATATCTGTCTTTTTGTCCTTACCACTAGAACTACCATCAACTTTACTGGAGCTTCATTTAGATTATAATAAAATTTCAAATGTGGAGCTGGAGGATTTTAAAAGATACAAAGATCTGCAAAGGTAAAAGTCCTCAAAATCTTAACTTAGAAGTGGTAGTACATGTGATTATGATATTAATCAAACCTTTTGAAAAATGTGTTTTAGGGACTCTAGTCAAGATTATCACTTGCTACTGGAGAGTGTGAAGGAAAAATGAAAAAAGGACAACTATTATTGCTGCCTATGCTAATGGAAGGAAACAAAGTAGACAGAGGAAAGGATACTTTTCAAATTTCCCTTTTGTTTTAATTTAGGATCAAGAATTTTCTGACAGTGGGATTCTTGAGAAGGCTGTTACATACTGAAATAGGCTGTTAAAGCCATGAAATACCTCTCTCTGAAGATATATACAAATAGGACAGATTTATATTTCTAAACAGGTTGCAGGGTTTTTCGCTAACTAGTTGCAGTATTTTACACCTAACAATCTGCATAAGAGCTGATTCATTTTATGTCATTTTTAGGCTGGGCCTAGGAAACAACAGAATCACAGATATTGAAAATGGAAGTCTTGCTACTATACCACGTGTAAGAGAAATCCATTTGGAAAACAATAAACTTAAAAAAATTCCTTCAGGATTACAGGAGTTGAAATACCTCCAGGTAAAACATCCTACCTGTGTTTGGTAGATTTCAATGCTCTTTTTTTAGTTTTTATAAAATATATTAGTATCTCAAATACTAAGTAAGCAACAAGGGGAATTCAAACATACTGACTCTACAGGCTGCAGGAGATGTTTTGAGAAGTAGGAGAGAGTTAGAATGGTTTCTACATAGATGTAACCTGAAAAACTCAGGTATCCATCTCCATCTTCTGGTTTCTTCTGTTGAAACTGCTATGGTCATTGTGGCAGTTACTGATGCAGCCAATTTCAGATTTCTCAGGTGGGGGTGGCTATATTAAAGCAGTCTGGTTAGGAGGAAAGCAAATAGGATTGTATATCCTTTCATTTTGAAAACATTTCACAAAGGCAGAACATGAAGACTAGATTTCAGGCCTTTTTATTATCAATGTAGTGCTATATTCTTAATGTATATGCTTTATTTTATTCAAAAAAGAATATATTACTAATGGAAAGTCAGTATTTAAAGAGTTCAAATTTTGTCACTTCTTGTTTTTCATTATTAGAAATCTTTTCCTTCTAATATAGTAATTCTTAAATAGATGATAAGGGTCACAAATTCTTTCTGAGATTCTGATGAAGCTCCCAAGAACATACTGCAGACATCATTTTGCACTTAATTTTAGGAGTCTCCCATCTATGGACCTCAGGTGAAGAATTTGTAGGGAATTCCACTTCACCTCAATCCATTTTTCTCATTGCTGTATGACAGAAAAAACTGGGCCCTGAGCCACTTTTCTAGTTTTCTTTTTGATCTGTCTTTAAACAAGTTTTGTTTATTGCACTCCCTTGAGACATAAGCTATCAAAATGGAAGTGCTACGAGCAGGTATTGATCTCAAGGTAACAACTTTTGCCTTTGAGTTTTTCAGAGGCTGCCTTTGAAAGTCCATCTAACCAGTGAACATCACCTGCATCCTTTCTCTATCAAGCTATCCCATCTCTGATCTCATTTTTGCTTACTTTACTCTGCAACTCTGATCCCAGCTTCTGGTCTCTAACAAATGTATCTGTACTCTCGCTAGCATTTTCTTTTTTTTTAATGAACAGAATTATAACACAAACAGAAAAAAGAACACAAGTCCATTCAATGAATTCTCACAAAGTAAACAGATCATATCCAGCACTAGTTTCCACTCTCAGTGAGGTCAGTGCTGTGGGCCGGGTACTAATACTGAGCTGCCAGGGCAATGTACAAGAACCAAATAAAGCATCTATCACAAAATCTCCCAGACTAATACAGGACGGAGGAGGATCTAACACCAGACTTACAGGTTTTTCATGATGTGGCTCAAATCAGTCTTAGCAACATGTAAAGGTAGAATCTAGAAGTAACAACAGCCAGAAGCTTATATTCTAGCTTTGCCAGCAAAAGGCTCCTGCTGTTTTGTATGCCAAAGTGCTGTCAATTCAGTAGATTGTTTTGACTTCCCAGAAATCTCACTGTTGCCAAGAAAGGCTAAACAAGGAATTTAAAGGGCTGTTGAAAGGGATGAAGGAAAGCTCCTATATTCACCATTCCTTTCTAAGTAATAATTTAATTTAAAAGACGTGTACACAGCACTGTTGCACCCCACCAGACCAGCAGCAGAAGTGGCTCTGAAGGGGCGCAGGTCAGATTCTGGAAAAAAGAAAGAAAGAAAGAAAAAAAAAAAAAGGGCAGTAAAAGCCAGGTTGATCCGATCTAGCTTTATCAGGGAACTTAGAGACAGAGGTTGGCACCAAGATTTTCACCTCTGACAGCTAAGTGCGGGGAGTGACCCAGGTAGAGTCCATGCAGGTAGTGCAGGTGTGTTATATACTTGGTGCTTTCATGCAAGGATCTGTGCAGGGGAGTCAGAAAACATGTCTAATCTATGATGGATGGATTGTTTTTGTATTAGTTACTAGGTTTCAACTGATAAGACCATGAAGTCAGGTGTTTGGTGTGTTTTACTCTGGTTCTCTCCCACAGTTCTATGCAGGCAGGACCCAACTTGTATTGTTCATGGGCCTCACAAGAATACAAAATTGTAGTTGGTGCAAATAAAGATTCAACTATTAATGGTGTATTACAAATATGTATTTATCAAATAACTTATACTTACCTCCCTTGATCACAGAAAATGCTAGCTAACAATTCTTCACATCCATATTGCAAGCCAAATACATGGAGCATTAAATTTCATTCTTCTGCCCATTTCTAATACTTTAAATGTGCCACTGATGTAACTCTAATTCTCTCTCTATATTCATCTACATCTCTCTCTCTCTGTATATATATGCATATGTATATATACATATATACATATATATGGAGTCCTTGGGTGGTGCAAATGGTTAAGCATTTCACTACTAGTTGAAAAGTTGGAGGTTCGAACCCACCCAGAGGCACCTCAGAAGGCAAGCCAGGTGATCTGCTTACGAAAGATCACAGCCTTGAAAATCCTGTAGAGCAGTTCTACTCTGCACACATGGAGTTGCCGTAAGTTGGAATCGACTTGACAGCAGCAAGTAACAAGGTATACAGATACAGATAGACAGAGACAGAAAGAGAGAAGGAACCTAGCCCGTGTGCTTCGATCCTTGCACATGGTTCTATGCCACATCCCATACACAAAGCACTTTCATTTATAACACGAGCCTGAGTCATTATAACAGGTATTTAACATGCATATTAAAGTACACATATTTTAACTGAAAATACTTTCAAACCAAGGTGAAATAAATACACGAATAAACCCATAAACAGAATATCTTCCTTATACATGTACTAGATATTAATAATACATTGTTTTCTCCTACTACAACAGATAATCTTCCTTCATTCGAATTCAATTACAAAAGTGGGAGTGAATGACTTCTGTCCAACCGTGCCAAAGATGAAGAAATCTTTATACAGTGCCATAAGTTTATTCAACAACCCGGTGAAGTACTGGGAAGTACAACCTGCAACATTCCGCTGTGTTTTGGGCAGAATGAGTGTTCAGCTTGGGAACTTCAGAAAGTAATAATTAGTAATTAGTAATGTCTATTTAATATAAAACTCAAAAATCATTACATTTGGAATACTTGAACTCTATTAATGGTGGTGGTATTATACACATATGCAAAAATCTATTCCCAAATTTTAAGTTTGTAAATTAGGTACATAATGAGGCAAGTCCACTGACTTATTTTATGACAAAAAATTTCACCAGAATTTTGCAAAATTATTGTTACATTAGGATTAAAGAAGGATTACCGAAGTTTCCTTTTGCATACAAATGATTTTGCATGAATCTCAGGCTTGAACATTCCTTTCTCAGAAACAAAATATGTAAGTCGTTCAGTATTTAACACTTTGTTATCAAGTACATTTTAAAAAGAACTGTACTGTAAATGAAATGCTTCACTTAGGAAAATTTGTGTTCCTTCACTTGCTGTCAGAAAAAGAAAGTTAACAAAGACAGCCATATGAAGAGTACACTGTACTATTTTTCTTCTTTCTTTAATAACTCGGGTAATAGTGTAAAATTTCGAAGGACGTTAGAGTATGGTTTGATATAACCATATTCAAATTCTCACATCTTAGGGTCTTACTTTCTTTATCTTTAAAACTAATTTCTTATAATAAAGCCTTCAGTAAGTGTTTATTACCAACTCAACGGATGCTACTCATAAGAGCTGGTTTTTAGACTATATTACATGCTTTTCTTTTTTAATTATTATTGTCTAATTATAAAATCTCCGTAAAAATGTGTAGTGAGTGTTCATATAAAATCTGTAACTCAAATTTGTTATTATCACAGTTATTATAAGCTTATAATGACATGCCCATTGTTAGGTTATACAACACTGTAACCTCAACACTAAAGGGTATTTTTGAAATATCCCATTTGGAAGAGCTGAAGAGCCTGGATACTATCAATTCTACACCAAATTTTCTCTTCAAAGGTGCTCATGCTGGATAATTCTGAAAAACACACCTAGTATAACTGAACAGGCAAAGCATTAAATAAAACAGACAAAACTGAAAGTTCTGTATAAAAGTTAAGAGTACTTCACGTATTTATTATCGGCATTCAAAATAAGCTGAATAAAATTAGGAAATAAGAAAAGCATCATTAAAAACGTTGGTTTGAAATAAAATATTTGTGCTTTAATTTTTCTTCTCCATCCAAGAACAGAAACTATTTTTCAGAAAATTCTAATTTATACATGACATTTTTGGAGCAGTATTAATACTATTCTTAATAACAGTACTGAACTATGCAAAATTATTCTTGTGCCATGGAAGATAATACTCTTTACACGAAACTACCTAAAAAACCAAGATTTTAAATCATTTTGGGGGGAGAAAATATTACAGTTATAGCAAGAAGGGATGGTGGAATTCCGTATCAACATTATTGTTATTAGGTGTCATGGAGTCAATTCCAACTCATAGCAACCCTACGTACAACAGAACAAAACACTAACCAATCCTGTGTTATCCTCACAATCATTGGTATGCTTGAGCCCATTGTTGCAGCTACTGTGTCAATCTATCTCGTTGAGAGTTGTCCTCTTTTTCACTGACCCTCTACTTTACCAAGCATGATGTCCTTCTCCAGGCACTGGTCCCTACTGATAACATGTTCAAAGTACATGAGACGAAATCTTGCCATCCTTGCTTCTAAAAAGCATTCTGGCTGTACTTCTTCCAAGACAGATTTATTTGTTCTTCTGGAAGTTCATGGTATATTCAGTATTCTTCACCAACACCATAACTGAAAGGCATCAATTCTTCCTTGGGCTTCCTTATTCATTGTCCAGCTTTCCCATGCATATGAGGCGATTAAAAATATCATGGCTTGGGTCAGGCATATCAAAATTAAGAATGGGTAAATAAGGTATTATTCTTCACAGCAGGATTTCTGAACCTTGTACTATTGATGTTTTGACCAGATAATTGTTTGTTTGTGGGCTGCCCTCCTGTGCATTGTAGAATATTTAGCAGCATCCTTCATCTCTACCCACTAGATGCTACTAGCATCTCCACCCCCCAAGTCCTAACAATCAAAAATTTCTACCAACATTGCTGAATATCATGGGGAGGAGAGGGGAGGGTAGGAGTGGGGAGGAGGGGTGCAATTACTTTATAAGAAGTATATTTAGTTTATAAATTTTGACATAATTTTGGAAATCTGAAACAAAACAGCTACTTTCATGGAATTTATAGAGGCAAGAATATATTGTGATTAAAATAATAAAGGCTAACCAGCAAGACCCAGGGTTTCAAGTTGGAAGACCTTAACAGGAAATCCGTTCTGTTTACAGTCTTGGGCAAGTCACAAACTCTTTGAGCCTGCTTCCTCTTTTATAAAAGGTAGGGACAGTAATACTGATCACAAAAGGTTGTTATGAGGATTGAATGATAAAAATTTGTGAAAATGCTTTGTTACTCAAGAAGTACCAACTGACATGAAAAAGAAAAGATTATGAAGTCCTTAAAAATAAAAGATAACACTACACTGATAATTATTCAAAAATCAAAATATCCAAACTAAATTTTTCTCCAATATAACATAAAAATAAAAAATTACATCATCTTGGCACATATAAAAACATACATATTAATAAAAAGTCAAGTCTTCATGGAAATTAGATGAATCTAGTTATTGAAATTAATTAAAACTGTAAGTGTAATATTAATGTTAGAATCATCTAAACAAAGTGAGAATAGTGTTTGACCCGAGTAACGAGGCTTAAAGAACTAAAGTAATCCTCTTAAAAGATAGAACAAAAATGTTAAAATACTGAAAATGATTTCTGAAATGACAGCAATTAATGTTTGTGTTTTTCATCCCACAGTTGCTAGCCAATTACGGTTATAAATGTATAAAAAACGAATCACTACTAAAAATCATATATAACCAAAACTGTAAAAAAAACTTTTTTCTGTCATTATATTTCTTCAAAATTGATCTTTTAAGAAAATTGGTTTCTAATTTTGTTTTTATATTTGCTACAAATCTTCATCATAATGCCCACTGAGTAACTGCCACAAACTCATTTAATGCTAAATACAAAATACTGAACTCCATTAAAGATTTAAAACAAATGAGTTGCTGCAACTTCTTAGGTTTATGAGGGACTTCAAGGCAGCAAAAAAAATCTCAGAGATTATACATCCTTTTTTCCTCCAAATTACCACAATTAAAAAAAGATCATCAGAATTCATGAAACTAATGTAACACTTTTCAATAAGCATTTGGTAAAGTCACTGAAATTCAAACTTTTTAACCTCAATTTTGTTTTCCATTGAGCTACCATACTATTTCACTTTCCTTTATAACTCCATCATTTTTTGAAAGAGTTGTCTTAATTAGGTCTTCATTTCCTTACTACTCACAATAGTCCTGTTGTGCTGACTTAACAACTATTCTGAAATTATTTTCTAAAAACCATAATATTATAGTAATAGTGTTAAACAATAATAGCTTATGCTTAAAGACATTTTTCAGGCATTATTCCAAATGTGTTACCTGTATTTATTAACTTAATAGCAAAATAAGTCTATGAGTCAGGTACCTTTATTATGCCCATTTTTATTTTTATTTTTTAAAATTTTATTTATTTTGTTGTTGTTGAGAATATACACAGCAAAACATACAATTCAACAGTTTCCATATGTACAGTTCAGTGACATTGATTATATTCTTCAAGTTGTGCAACCATTCTCACCCTTTTTTTCTGAGTTGTATCACCCCATTGACATAAACTCACTGCCCTCTAAGGTTCTTATCTAATTTTTCAAGTTGCTGTTATCAACTTGATCCCATATAGATAGATCTTAAAAGAGCACAATGCTCAAGGCAGATTTTCTTTACTAGTTAAGCTAAATTATTATTTGGTTTTAAGAAGATTTTGGGGGATATTTTTGATTTAAGGTTTAAAGATTATCTCAAGGCAAAAGTTTCAGGGTTCATCCAGCCTCCATGGCTCCAGAAAGCCTGGAGTCTCTACAAGAATTTAACATTCTGTTCTACATTTCCCCCCTTTTGATCAGGATCTTCTATAGAATCTTTGATCAAAAACATTCAGTAATGGTAGCTGAGCACCACCCAGTACTTCTGGTCTCATGGCAAAGGAGGCAGTTGTTCATGGAGGCAATTAGTCACATATTCCATTTCTTCCTATTTCTGACTCTCCTTCTTCCTCTGTTGCTCCAGGCAAATAGAGACTAATTTTTGTGTCTTGCATGGTTACTTGCAAGATTTTAAGACCCCAGGCAATATGCAAGGAACTAGGGGGTAGAAGAGAAGTACTAAACACATTACTAGGCCAATTAACTGGGAAGTTCCATGAAACCATGACCCTAAACCTCCAAACCAAGATAATACAGTAGCAGTAGTGTCGGATCTCGTATAACTTCAGGGAGAATGAGAATTAGCGTCAACATCAGCCCAAAGCTGATTTCTATTAGGTGGAGGTCAGACATACCTCCACTCTCCAACCTTTTTATCCTACCTCTGACAGTAGTTGTAATATGGTAATGGCAGTGCCAGACCTCGTCTAACTTCAGGGAAAATGAGAATCACCATCAGGATCAGCCCAAAGCTGATTCCTATGAGGCAGAGGTTAGATATACCTACACCTTCAAATCTTTACCAATTCTGAGACTAGGTGTCCTCCCCATGGCACTCTCTACTTCTCTGCTGGGTTTGATAATTCATTGCAATGGCCACACAGAAATCATCTACCATACTCACGGTTGTGTAGTTTATTAGGGAAGTAACATGAGATCAGAATTAACTTGGAAGGAAAATGAAACAGGATCAATGTTGAGAAGCACACAGGTAAGATCTGGAAGGTTCCCCCAAAGTGAAGAACACATTTTTCCCATCTTTAGTGTAAGACAGCTCTCTCTTTCATCCATGCATACCCTCTTAGGACTGCCCTCCTCTTGGTCCCTGCTCTGCTTGAGCAAGTGTTACAGCTCTCTTAGCTCCGCCAAGAGCTCAGAGGCACCTCACTTGCCAGCAAG